GCCAGGCCAGCCTGCCTCCGTCCTCCTGTGTTCAGGTGTTCAGGGGCTATGGGTACAACTGCCTCCCTGGGTAGCAGCCAGTGAAATTCTTGAAAAAGACTTTCTTCGCATGTGGGAAAGAAATCTACAGTTCAGCAGTGTCCTTCCAGCATTTCAGGAGGACATCTGGCAAAGTGGAGGGGGAATGTTAAACACAGAGTTCCCCAAACACACAAAGACTGAGAGTTCTGGAGAAACACAGATATTGTTAGAAACAATATGTTAAAATGTTTTATTATTTAGTTACATCTTGCCTGAGCATGAAAAAGATATTAACAGACTGGCAGCTTACTGGGACATAACCCAAAATAACTTACATGTTTCATATATTGCTAATTATTTTTCTAAGGCTGGCTCAGGCTGGTAAGAGAGATTTCAAGGCTTTCGCCAGATTATTTACTTAAAGAAGTTAAGCATGGCATTAGCTGTTCCCATGGAAACACAGTAAGGAGACAGAAGAGGAGGTCACTTTGGCCATAATTAATGTAAAGAATAATGGTTTATATAGAATCTAGTAAAGAATATAACAAGATGCTGCAATAGCTTTAAGCCTTTTCTTCAGCAGTGCAGTTCAATCTTTGGATTGATTTTCATACACTAGTGTCACTTTGGTCGTTTTTTAGTCTAGTGCTAAGTTTTTGAAGTATAACAATCTTGCCTAGCAAAATTTTTCCAACATTATTATTTCATTTTTGATCCAATCAGAAAATTCCAGTATTCAGAAGTTTTCTAAAGTACTCAGTAAGTAGAAATGGATGACTATGCTGGCCTTAAGCTTCTTGTGAATGCTACAGCTCCTCACCATGTTTTCTTAATAAATACATAAATGGATGGTTGGTGAATTAATTGATGTAATCCAGAGGCACCACTAGATTCACCAGTGCCTTTAAAATCACCAACAAAAGATTTAATCACCTTCAGTCCAGTTTACATTTAAGGTGTCTAATTCTATTCTTTTTTTTTTTTTTGAGATGGAGTCTCGCTCTGTCACCCAGGCTGGAGTACAGTGGTGCCATCTTGGCTTACTGCAGCCTCTGCCTCCCGGGTTCACACCATTCTCCTGCCTCAGCCTCCCGAGTAGCTGGGACTGCAGGTGCCCATCACCACGCCCGGCTAATTTTTTGTATTTTTAGTAGAGACAGGGTTTCACTATGTTAGCCAGGATGGTCTCGATCTCCTGACCTCATGATCCACCCTCCTCGGCCTCCCAAAGTGCTGGGATTACATGTGTGAACCACCGCGCCCGGCCTAATTCTATTCTTCTTTTATTAGCGGAAATTGGTAATCCACATGGGGTGTCTCTTAGATATTCCATTTATTGGCACCCGGTGCACTCCTTAGGAATTCCTACCGAAAGATGCACGCTGTACTTTTTAAAAAATTCTTATGCTTATTTGGATAGTGGATTCGTTGTACAGTCTTATAAGGTAAATTTTATCATGGAAGATCGATGACACATTTTTCCAAAACTCTTTAATTTAGTACAGTATTCCAGAAAGAACTAAAGAGAAAGAGAGAAATGAAAGAGTTGCCCTTTCCAATTTCTGAATTTTTAATACACTGAGAAATTACGTTAAGTCAGAAATTATTAGGATTTTTTTCTGTTAGAGTTCTGGCCCAAGAAACATAATATAGGCTCCTCCAGGCAGACTCGTCTGAGGAATAGATTCAGGGCTGCAGTATGACACTGAGTGATGTTTACAAACAGGTGGCCTGAAGCTAAGTGGAGTCAATATACAATTTCTCACCCTTTAGAAAATAACTACTTGCTGCCACATGAGTAACGAACATTTTTTTGTAAAAATCAAGCTTGAAATCATTTAATGAAGAATGTAAATCAGTTATGTGCCCCCATTATAAAAATTTTGATGGGATTTGCTATGGTATTGATTTTTTTTTTTTTTTTGGTGGGGGGAATTACAGCTGTTACAGGTTTTTTTAATATGATGATATCACATTCCTATTCCAGGAATGCAAACAATATTATATCCTGCTTGGCAGGCACTGTGGTCACTTGGCTTAGCCAAGAATAAGAACTCTCAGCAGTGCCATTCCATAGGTTTGTAAGAGATCCCCTAAAATAATGGATGGTATACTTTCCTGTATGTATTTATGTTCAGATAATTTATTTAAATAATGCTGCTGGCACATGCTTTATAGCTGCTTGCATTTTGCTATACAGATTTCAGCATATCTTGCAGACTATGCAATTCATTTGGAAAATGTAATTTCCATCCCTGCATACTAATCGATTTCTTCACAAACACCTGCTATCAGTTATGATAATAAAAATGCCACTCTGAATTGAAAAAGGGCCAAATAGAGCTTCCTAAGGAAATGACTTAAGTGTCTTTGAATGCTACTAAATGTAGTAATGTGCCTGTGTAGTGCCAACACTTTTTTCATCATTTGCATTTTCTGTGATTTTGCCCTATTACAACATCCCTCTCACAAATGATTCCTCATAACCATTTCCTTCTGGCTTGGTAAACGGAGCTGTCAGGAGGTGGTATCTCAGGATGTGGACAAGATCCGAAGCTGGGCTGCACAGTGTTAGAAGGCACTGGCTCATGCCGTGGGGTACATGCTGGATAATTTCTGATTTTATGAGTAAGTCTCTGAAAGCTGTAAAAGTGGCTGCTCCTTGGTTTTGCACACACATACACCAAATAAAATCTCCTTTTTTCATTCTCTCAGCCTCCAGTTCATTCCATGCACCATTGCCAAACTGATGTTCCTAAATCCCAATTTCATCATGTCCTTCCAGCACCCCAAGCACTGTCACTGGTTCTCAATTGGCCGCTCCATTGAACCTAACCTTCCCCATCGTCTCCCATCACCTGACGTGGATCACCGTTCTCTCACTGCTGCCAGGCAAACACTTGGCTTTTGCTCAAGTTTCTCTCCTTCTTGCCCCAAGTATTCTACCTTTGATTTTCATCTCTGGGCTTTTGCTTATGCTCTGGCTCCTGACTGAGAGACATCCTTCCCAAGTTCTTGGGTTTTTCATCTTCCAAAGCCCTCATTTATTCCTTCAGTCTGAATTTTTCTTTCTCTTCTCTGAACTCCTATAGGATACTTTTTTTTTTGTCATGCATCTAGACTCATTTATTCATTTATTCATTCAACCAACGTTTATTGAGTGCCTGCTGTATTCCAGACATCACATTATCCTTTCTTCCTTTGAAAGCAATTGTTTCTTCTTAAATGTGTCAGTTTCTACTAGATTTTAAGCTCTTTGAGAGAACAGATGTATTCTGTCTCCTCTTTTTGTGGTCTGAGATGCCCACACAGACCTGAGCACAGGTAAATATGCAGTAAATGCCTGTTAAGTAATTGATCCCTACTGACTTGAGGTAGGGAAATGTCTGGGTAATTGCATGTTCTGTTTGATTAGTAGTTCAGTGTGTACCACACAGAGATTATTTTGCAAGATGGAATACTGTAAAACACTCAACGATAAAACTATTATTAACATAATTTGACGTTTGATATTTGAGGAGAGAATTCACTATGGTCTCAGAGCACCTCGGTAAAGCTTTATCACCATGGAACTGTAATGTGCGGGTAGAACACCCAGGAGGCGACCTTGATTTGGTCCTCTAACACGGGAAACGGGCTGCAAACGTGAATGCACTGACGCTCTGGTGTGTGGTGGGCTCCACACCGTGCCCTTATCTACTGGAAGTTACATGTTTGAAGTTTCTGGTAACAAGCGTTTCAAATTTGCTTTCACTTTTCTCTTGCTTACACAAGTGGGGAATGGCTTTTCTGTGAGGGGGAAGATCAAAGGGAGACTGGTGGGAGAGTTGGTGGGGGAATGTGAGACTGGTTTTGAACAGCCTGGTAAGAACTGAACACATGGACCGACGTAATCAAGAGCAGAGACTCTGGAGCCTGCCTGCAGCCTGGGTGTGAAGGCTTTCTGCTACTTACTTTGTGGGATTGGATGAGTTACGTAACTTCTCTGTGCCACATTTTTCTCATCTGTAAAGACGGGGATAAGACCAGCACCGGCATCACAGGCTTGATGGGGCTATGAAGTGAGTGAGTTCATACAAAGCTCATGGTCCAGTACTTTGTGAGTGCCCAGCAGGCTATGTGGATTTTTGGAGAGCCCCCTAAGCAATAAGATAGAAACTAGGGAAAGGGATTCCCTACCCTCAATCTTTGTTTTGTACCATTTGTTTTCTTTTTCAGTTTCGGCTATTTCTGAAACCTTGAGATGTGTGAGACCCCGAGTTAACTGTCTTGGTTTCTTAACAAGATGGACATATGAATGAAGTCTGAATCTAAATGTGGAGAATTGGGGGTTTCAGGGAGAGGTATTAGAGTAACCACTCAGCCTTGCAGAGGAAAAGAGTTTTAATCTGTTGGTGAAACAGATGGAACTAGGTTCCCATTCTGATCAGAGTTGGAGGAAAACAATCTGTGCAATTTGTCCCAGCAGTAGAGCAGGAAGGAACGGTGTGCATATAAATTCCTCTGTCCCCTGGGAGGCTGCCGCATGTCTCAACCTGTAGAACTGCTGATTCTTTGAAAGAAAGCAGCCCTCCAAGGAGCTAAGCAATCCTGTAGAAAGGGGGAAGACAATATTTAGTAGATATGATCGTTGCCTGGAATTCTGAATGTTGTCACCACCTAGCACCACATACCAATGTCTGTGAGGGTGTCCAGCATTGAGGGAGAGAGGTCAAGGGACAAGAATTTGGGAGGAATTAATCCCGTGCCCATAAGAAACATTCATACGTAAGACAGGACAAACAGAATAGATAAAAGTTCCGAGAGAAGTGATGCATACTGACTACAAAACAGACAGCCCCGGGGTAAGGCATTCTGCTTTTATTTCTGAGCTGGTACAAACATTAAGAACTTGGGTGGCAGACTCCCTTTCCCACAGAAGGCCTCCTCAAGCTAAGCAAGAAGGTAACTCACTTGAACTCATTCTGTTTGTCCTTTAGCTCTGGCTGCTCAGGCCTACGCTCTGAAAGAGGAGAATGACAGTCTCCGCTGGCAGCTGGATGCCTACAGGAATGAGGTGGAGCTGCTGAAACAAGAAAAAGAACAGCTTTTCCGAACAGAAGAGAACCTCACCAAGGACCAGCAATTGCAGTTCCTGCAGCAAACCATGCAAGGCATGCAGCAGGTACCTGGCCCAGATGGTTTTGTGAGAGAAAGGGATATGTGTATTAAATGAAAATGGAAATGCTGCATGCTGGAAAGGGTGAAGGAGAAGAAATGACAACCAAAAAGCTAAGTTCTTAGGACAGAAAAGTGCTAATGACTGTTTGTGGAAGGGTAGAATCTAGAGAAAAGCCAAGCCAATCACTTTTCCTGTATTGCACTTAGGATCTAGTCAGGTTCTGTGAGCACACTACGTGTTTAAGAAATGTTTGTTGATGGAACAGATGAAGCATCAGAGTTTTGGGAGACAGGTAACTTTAGAAAGAGGACAATAGCTGTGTTTCTGTTGAAGAGTGCCAGACTTCATCCTAGCATACTGAATTTAAAGATGTGTATTTATGGCAATTGTTAGAAAGGAAGTGAAAGTTGAGGGCTTTGGAGGATGGAAAATGAACAGGTACTGTGGGAAATAAAATGGTGACAAGGGGGAAAATTGACTGTTGGCAGTGAGGGAATAGAATCAAAGATTCACAGCCAGATTTGTATCTGAAAACCTCAACTGGTACATGATATTCTTACGGTGTTTGGGCCTTTGAGTTACCTTAGAATAATAGAGCATAAATTATCATCATGGGGATTTTTAAATTACTCCTCTGAATATACAAATCCAATCAATATTTTCTTTAAAAAAGATTGTTTTTATTTAAACAAGGGAAATATAAGTAGAATGATGGAAAGTTAATATGCAGAGAGTCAATTTTTTTTTAATTCCCCATCCATATTGACTGCTCTGTAACATCCAGAGCATGGATTGCCTACAGAAGTATCTTAGTGATTAGAGGTAACTACTACAGAAACATCAGCCTAACAGGGAAAAATAATTGAGAGGGAGAGTATAAAAAAGAATCACGGATTGGGAAGTGAGAAAGTTAATGACCAACTCGCACAAATTATGTCTTAAACATCTCCTGCCATTTTAAAGCAATTTTTGAGTTTTGGCTTAGAGTCCTAACTGGTTGATGTTCACAGTGTGTGTTAGACTAATCAGTGAGATTCAGAGGTCAGAGCAAGCCAGGAAAATGTCACTACAGTTATTGCTTAGGTCTCTGTACTTGGAAATCGATGTAACAGCTGCTGTGTGAGACTTCTGGGGTTGTCCATATGCCCCAACATTGGGTGTTTGTCGGTGTCCTCGCCAAGATTAGAGACCATCGAGTTCCCCAAAGGCCGTGACGCCAGACCTAGCCCTATGCCACACTTTACACAACTCTCCCTCTTTCCCTCTAGAAAAGATTACCCCAGTTGCTTTAAAGGTATATAAAGTATTTTAGGTTATTGCAGATTCAAATCAAAAAGAAGTCAGAGGAGGCGAGGGCGAGCTGCTCGGTCAGGGCTGCAGAAGCACTGAGGAGCCACGTGCCTGGTCCGCAAAGGAGCAGTGTTCCAAATCACCACCTGAGCCATCCTCCTGAACGAGGGATTCAGTTAAGGGAGCTTCTTATCTCTTTTCAGCATCTCCTTGTCAGTAGGAAATGTACTTTATATAACTAAAAAATGTAGTTGAGACAGAAACGTATTATCTCACAGTTCTGAAGGCTACAAGTCCAAGATCTGGGGTCCAAGAGCAGGGTTGGTTCCTTCCGAGGCTGTAAGGAAGACTCTGACTCCTGCCTCTCTCCCAGCTTCTGGAGGTTGGTTGGCAATCTTTGGCCCTCCTTGACTTGTAGACACATCACCCTGCTCTCTGCCTTCATCATCCTGTGTCATTCTCCGTGTGTGTGTGTCCAAATTTCTGCTTTTTATAAGGACACAATTCATACAGGATTAGCGGCCCACCTGCTCCAGTATGACCTCATCTTAATTACTTATATCTGCAAGGACTTATTTCCAGATAAGGTCCTAGTAGGGGCTAGGACTTCAACATTTGGATTTGGGGCTGGGGGGCAGGGCACAATTCAATCCGTAACAGACACATAGTAGACAGTCAAAATATCTATGTCAGATGAAGCAATGAATAGACAAAGGCCTGGAGGCAGGCCTAGCATGGTGCCTGTGGGAGCTCTGGACTGTGTGGGATCCTGGATCATGAAAAGCAAGACAGGGAGCGGGAGAGCCAAGGCCTGAGAGGTGTGTGTGGTGCCTCCTTAACCTACAGAAAGCACTAGGTCCCTGGTGGCTGCTGTGATTTTAATATTTACTGGTTGTTAGGCGGATGTATGGCTATCTCTGCGGCAGAACATTTTTAACAGAGTTTTAAAATATAGGTGCTTTTTAAAGTCTTATTTCTATCATGACCTACCATGTGTGAATAAATTACCACAATTCGCTAATTTGAATCCCACCACAAAGAATTAGCCTGACTTTAAAACCTACCTTCAATCTCCACACTATCTACTTTATAAATCAGAAAATCATGGTTTCACATGAAAGATGACAGAGAGAGGAGGGGTCAGCCTCCCATATGTCACCATTTCCACAGTCTATGTTTGGGAAATCATTTCTGTAACAAACAATAAAAAAGAAACAGCCTTAATGACCTGAGGACTAGCAGACAGCTTTTGGAATCGCCTTCAAATTTAGCCAAAAAGTCTCTAACCTTTCTTTCTTTAACCCCTTAAGGATATGATCACTGACATCACACAGTTTTTCATGTGTTCATGAAGAAAACGCTATGGGCAGGGTTCCTAACATGGAAAAACCCTTGGGTGACTTTGCCTGGATGTTTCTGAGTTTACCCCTGCACCATGTGAGTCACAATTTAATGATATGAAAGGTTTCATACAAAAGAGAATAACAGCTTGTATCCATGGTAACACAGTAGCCTTTACCTGATCATAAACTGGCAGTGAAGTTAACTTGTCTCTGCCTCAGGGATAGTGAGGCTTTTGACTTTCATTTGTAACTTTAGGTGTACAAGGAAAGATTATACATATTTTTAACTCTTATTTTTCTTCAGGTTACCACACTGAATTCTTTCATTAGGTTTATTGAGGTAAAATTTACATACAATGAAATACATTCTTTTTAGACATACGTTCTGTGAAGTTTGACAAATGCATACAGTCACATAACCACCGCTACCACAATCTATATATAAATCAGTTCCATCACTCATTCCCTCTTGCCCCTTTTGATTCAACCCCACTCCCAGCAACCACTGCTCTGTTTTCTACCCTTACAGGTTTTCTTTTTCCAGAATATCCTATAAGGGGAATTGAACAGTATGCAACCTGTTGAGTTGGGCTTCTTTCTTTAGCATAATACATCTGAGACTGATCCATGTTGCTGTACGTATCAGGCTATTCATTCCTTCTGATGCTGAGTAGTATTCCACCATAAGAAAGAGCTGTGGTTTGTCTGTCTAGTCAATAGTTAGTGGATGGGATAGTTTCCAGTTTGGGACAAATAGGAATAAATCTGCTATAAACATTCACTTACAGGCTTTTTGCTTAGACATAATTTTTCATTTTACTTGAGTAAATCCTAGGAATATGATTGTTGGGTCATATGGCAAGCGTGTTTTCCTTTCGGAGAAACAAGTGTCTGTGCCATCATACATTCCCTGAGGACTGTCTGCAAACTCCCGTTCTGCGTCCTCATCAGGCAGCACTGGCAGGGTCAGCGTGTCGTTTTCCATCCCTGTAGTACATTTGTAGTGATATCTCATTATGGTTTTATTCACACGTAAATTTGCAGTATTTTTATTTTCATTCATGAGGCTAGGTCAACATGTCATAATTTTTGAATAATCCGCTTAAAAATCAGAATTCTTTTCGAAGCCTTGTGTAAATCATATTGACAGGACTAATAAATATTTGGATAACAGCAGGATACCATTAAAAACTGCTGATCGTGAAAGTGTGGATGACTAATGATGATTATGTCAGAAGGCTTCTTCCTAAATACTTTAAGGGGATGCTTTTGAACAGTATTAAATCTAGTCTGAAGACCAGCTGTCTTAGACCAGCAAGCCATTGGCCCATATGGTGCAGTGGCTCTCTCACACTCTTAGCTTGACATTAGTAAGGCGCAGGCCTGGTCCACTGTCTTGACAACTTTCAGCAAGGGAGGATCAGGAAAAAAAAAATGGGAAAAGTAAGATGATTATGATCAAAAGCATTTAGAAATTAAGTGACAAGCATTTTTTTCTTTAGAGTCAAAGTAGAACATACGTGTGATTTTCTGTGTGTGCATTGTTAAAATCTCACCCACTTAGACTAATTTTATGGAAGATGAAGAAATATAACATTACTACTTTCCTAAAATACAAAGTAACCCCATTTAGTTTTGTCAGCATGTTGGGTAAGAGTCAGACTTTGGAATATCTATTAAGGAGTAAATGAAACTAGTCTTGAAATTAAACATAGTGATTACATCTGACTCCTTGGGTAAGTTCAGCCTGTCTTCTGCAATCTTGTTGAAACTATTTAGTTGCTTAGTAAGTACTTTTTTTTTTAAGAGAAGGAGAAAAGCTTGCATTCAATTCCTCCCCAAAATTCACATGTAATTAAGTCTGATGTTATATGTCAAAATCAAGATCATAATAATGTTAGCGGTGGTGGTGATGGTGGCTGTGGAGATGAAGGGACTGTGGAGGTGATGGTTGCCATGGTGGTAGAGGTGACTGCAGTAGTGATATTGGCTCTGGAGGTGAGGGTGATTGTGGTGAGGATGGTGGCTGTGGTTGTTTTGGTGACTGTGGTGGGGGTGGTGAAGGTAGCTGTGGTGGAGAAGGTAACTGTGCTCGTGAAGGTAACTGTGGTGGCGAAGGTGGCCGTGGTGGGGGTGCTGGCTGTGGTTGTGTTGTTAGCTATGGTGGTAAAGGTAGCTGTGGTGGCTGTGGTAGTGATGGTGACTGTAGTGAGAGGATGGTGACTGATGGTAATGTCAACTGTGGTGATGAAGGCATCGGTGAGGGGGATGATAACCTCCGTTGTGTTGCTGGCTGTGGTGAGAATGGTGGCTATGGTAGTGAAAATGGCTGTAGTAGCTGTAGTAATGAAGGGAGCTATGGTGAGGATG